ACCCTTTTCATTATCATTTCTTGAAGGAATTGAGGTTTTCTGTATTGTCAATGAGCCAAACTCAGAAGAGTTGTCTTCAGGCCGTTTTATTAAAAAACCCAAAAAAGCAGACAGTCAGGTGAAGGGAAATCCAGCTGAGCACTTCCCACTGCAGAGCAGCAGAGAGAACTCCTCTGTGAACCTTCCATTCTGCTCTGGCTGGTCGGCTATTTTGGAAAACATGCACAAGACAAAAGACTGAAGCTTGTATTTCACTTCCTGTAAATTAGTTGACTGCAGTGCTGCCAGCTGAGCTCTTCTCAGATGGGGATGTGCTTCAGTGAATTGTTTTTCCTCTCCTGTGCAAGCATTAGGCATTTTGGTAATCAGAAAGTTGGCATAACTCCTCACTTGAGGAAAAAAGTCCCCAAAGCATGTGTTTCTTTGTGACCAGGCTTCAGTGAAGTGAGTGTAGGAGAGTATAAAGAGTAAGAGGTTACAAATGCACAAGAGAGGGTTTAGAATTTCTTCAACACATGAAAAATCACTCCCATGCTGAAGGGTGAGGACCACCAATCCTGTCCCATCCAAAAGATGAGCAGTACATGAGGAACTGTTCAATACTTGTGAGTGCCTCCTGATCAGACACAAGGTTCTAATCTTGGATATCATTTCAGTGGAGAGGCAGCTGCTCACCTGAACTGCAGGTGACTTTAGTGGATGATCCAGTCCCTTCCTGTCCCACATGCACAGCTGGGTGGTTGTGTAAGAATTATAAATATGTATGGTGGCACTGCATCAGTGTGTAACCTGATGTGCAAACTCACTTTGTTCTTCAGCTGCATCCTGACCAGTGTGGGCTCTGTCTTTGCATCAAGCCACATACAAAGGTAAAAAAGCTGAACAAATCACATTATTTGAGCTTCATTTTAGGGAGACTGATTGTGCTGKAATTTGATCATCCAGTTGTGGGTGTGCTCACTCCAGGTCAGCCTGCAGACAGGACACAAAAAGCTGTTCTAGTSTGCTATTTAAACATGAATCTAAGTGGGAGTCTTTCCTCCAATTCACGTGCAGGACTGTCATCACATATGTAGAAAAACTATTTCCCTTCCTTTTGCAAGGTAGCAGAGGAATGAACTGGCTCTGCTGAAAGCTGACACCAGTTTCAAGTTTTATATCCCTTTTTTAGATCAGAATTTGGTTGGTGATTTTATCGAAGTGATAGTTGTGCATCTGTCCAAGTTGACGCACAGTACATCTGATTACATTATCAAGAATGGTTATAAGATTTACCTAAGGAACAGACAACTCATAAAGCTGACTGAGACTGGCCTATCATGTGCAGTAGAATTCCTTAGTGCTCATCTCCCCACAGGTCAGCAGCACATGTTTTTAATTATTTGCAATTTCTTTGACATTTTAAGAGATACCTGAAGTGCCTGGTAGAGCAAGAGGAGTTTCTTCCAACTTGCAATGAGACACTGTGAACTCACAMTACCTTTTACTCATCAAAGAAGAGTAATTATGACTGAGTTCTTTAAATGTGGCACTGCACTGCTGGAATTTGTACAAAGGGGAAAATTCAAAAGCAGCATCAGCTTTACTCAGGAAGTGGAAATAGCCATGGTCTGAAGACTGTACTAGCAGCATCTCCAGCAGTGCAGAGGTGTTGTCCTGACTGGGGCAGGGACAGCTCAGCTACTGCCAGGAAACCCTTGAAAACRGGGCATGACCCCATGATAATGGAAATAATCCCAGCATTTCCAGATTACAAAAGAATTCGATATAAGGTAGGTGTTAACTGCAAACATACTCAGTAATACRTATGTACAATTTATTTAAAATATTTTTTAACATATAAAACCCCCTCACTATTTATAGTCTAAGTCCTAGCAACATATACAAATACTGAGCAACTACAATACATGCTGAGGTAAGAACATACATTCTGGGAGAATACTCAAGCCAAAGATTGAAATACATTTTATATACATATGTCTTCACATATAAGAGAGACCCATGAAATGTACTTTTGCTTTATTGTAGACAGACAAATTTTAGCAATTAAACCCAACTGTTACATGTACCTTAGCCCTAGCAGATAACATGTTCAAAGTCTAAAGCAGGGAACAAAGCCTGACACCAAATTCCTTCAGAAAAGGGGCTTAAATTTTAAAAACATCCATTTCTGTAACAGCTTATGCTCCTCCAATAATGAAGTTGCATTATGTTTGCTTAAAAAATAACTCATTGTAGAGAAACTGTTTAATTCTTACACCACCTTAGCCTCCAGCTATCCACAGTTCTACCATTCCTGATCTGCAGTAAAAATTAAATCCAGGTGTGTTATTTATACTGATTGGAACATATTTATTTATTTTTACGGTAAATTAATTTTTCTAAGCCTAAACTGGTACAGGTTGAGCATGGAGAGGATTCTTAACTTGGCTGGAGTTGTGTTGTCACATCTTAGTGGAAACTAACAACTTCCCACTCCTTTTAAATAAAATCAGCTCAGATAATTTCAGTCATAGTAGCTGCTGATAGCTAAGAACACTTATCTGTTTGAGCAAAACTACAAAGATTGCAAACTATTTTTATCAGAAAAATCTGCAGTAACATCAAAAGCACTATTACAGGCAGGAATTTGCTGTTCACAAATGGGTCTTATTTCCCATCCTTACATTCACATTTAGGCTTAAGATACCCAACTCTAAAACAATTAATTAGAACACAGTCATTCTCAATGAATGAGAATGAATGATGAGAAATTGCAGAGCTGGGCTTTAAGGTAGCACAGAATATGTTCAGCATATTGGTTGGTGACAGGGACAGTGGGACTGAGCACACCCTCAGCAAGTTTGCCCACAACACCAAGTCAGATGGTGCAGCCAGGCTGCTGGAGGGAAGGGATCCATCCAGAGGGACCTGCACAGGCCTGAGAGCTGGCACCTTGTGAAGCTGAACAAGGTTTTGTCCTACCCTGGGTCAGGGCAATCCCAGGCACATGAACAGGCTGGGCAGAAAGAGCCTGAGCAGCCCTGCAGAGAAGGACTGGRGGTGATGGGTGATACAAACTCAAAACGAGCCAGCAGTGTGCTCTTACAGCCCAGAAAGGGAGAGGAATCCTGGGCTGCAGCAAAAGGAGCACAGCCAGTAGGGTGAGGGAGGGGATTCTCCTCTGCTCTGGTGAGACCCCACCTGGAGTTCTGCATCCAGAGATGGTGCCTCCAACGTCAGAGGGACATGGAACTGATGGAGCAAGTCCAGAGGAGGCCATGAGGTTGGTAAGAGGACTGGTGCACCTCCCCTATGGAGACAGACTGAGCAGGTTTGGGCTACTCAGCCTGGAGAAGGGGAGGTTGTGTGGAAACCCCATTACAACCTTCCAGTATCTGAAGGGGCCCACAGGGAAGCTGGAGAGGGACTCCTTGTCAGGAGCTGCAGTGACAGGACAAGGGGAATGGGCACAAACTGAAAGAGGGGAAGCTTAGGTAAGATATAAGGAAGAAATTCTTCACTGTGAGGGCGGTGAGACACTGGAATAGGCTGCTCAAAGAAGTTATGGATGCCCCATCCCTGGTTGTGTTTAAGCCAGGTTTGATGCAGCTCTGAGCAACCTGGTCCAGAGGAAGGTGGATTGGAACTCGATGCTCTTTAAGCCCAGCCATTCTATCATTCTATATAGTATCTTATTTTAGATGCTGAACAGGCCACAAGTAATTTTTGACCCCAGAGTTCATGTACAGCCCCTCTGCAAAAAGATTTTCAAGTGGTCAGTGAGGATCCTGTCCTGCTMTTAAGGCATGGTGGCAGCCCCTTGAGCAGCTCTGCAGTTTCCATTGAGATATTCTCCATGGTGTTTAAGGACCTGGGCAGTAAACAAGGCTTTGAATTACAGCATAAAAACAAACAGTAACTCCTGAAGTCCATAAAAACTGGGTTACTAAAAACTTAGGTAGGGGWTCTCACATGTACAAATTAATTCAGCATCCTTCCAACAGTGCTGTTAGAATAAAAATACAGCATTTTTATAGTGAGGTTTTTTTCCTACTGCTTAGGTAAGAAAGCTGTGCTTTTTCCTAACAAGATAAAAAAAGSCAAATATGACATTCAAACTATTTCCATTTTGTGATTACCTGGCTGAAATGAGTCTATCCCAAYAGATGACTGACTGCAATGTTTTCATAGTACAAAACACTGGGACATTCAAAGGCTACAAATTCCAATAAATACCTCTGAAATGGACACTCTTTGGAATAGCACTGGCTCTTTTGCAAAGGTTTTGGAAACTTTCATGCCTCTAATAAAAACAATCATTAAAAAAAGCCCTAAGGCTAAAGTTTGTCAGTTGTGCTAAAACGTACCATTATGTGCTAAATGCATGTCTAACACAAACTGTGCACCATTAGAATATTTGTGTGCTTCCTTAAGCAYTTACAAAAGTATGTACAGATCTTTGTGTGAGCTCACACCTGAACACACAACAATGGACAGACACTGGGGGAGGGCAGGGCAGGGCCTTTCTCAATTCAAGTCACTTCCAAGACCTGGATGCTTCCTGCACTGCCCATCAGGGAAGTCTGGCTTGGAGGCAGATGCTATTCAACGTGACCCTCACAGGACAGGGAAAAATGTAAAAGCAGTTGCCAGCAGTTGCAAGTTCACTTGTGCCAATCTRTGCCTCCTGGATCCCTAGGAAGGAATTCGACTGAGTGGCTTAAGGAGAAGAGGCAGGAAAGAGATTGTACAGACAATCCTCTGGTTTTGGAAGGCTAAACAAAAGGCCAGGAACCTTCTGAGGAACCCACAGCTGACAATTCCCAATTCTRTTAACAAAAGCTGAAATAATGTAATACAGAATCAAAATTATTTTACACCATGAAGCTAAAGGGATTTTTGCCATCAGTCCTGAAGTAGCTTGTTAAATCCAAAGTTGTGCAGACATTTTATAAGGAAAGTGGAATTTTARAAGATGTAGTGCTTACACAGGAAGTTAAGAGTTTKGGRWKGGGWTTTTTYCCCCCAAGAAATAGTACCATTAGGAAGAAACAACTGGTTTTTGTACTTAAACTGTTTCTCCCAATTTATCATTCACATCTATGAATTACTGGAGCTAATCATGAAGAGTTCTTCTCTCATGTCTGACAGACAATTGTACAGTAGTATTAAAAAGTCCACGGGTTTGCAGGAGACAAGCTGTTAATCGTACACACAGTTTAAGGAAAGGCAGAATTGCTGTTTTCCCAGACCTCCAACACCACATCCTTTGGTTCAACATTGTATTACGACTAACAATATCAAAACAATGGAATTTAAACAGTGAAACTGTGAGCTTCATGGAACTGGCTTTTAGAAACAAGCCATCACTCTRCCTTACTCATGAGCTAACTTTGTTCATCCTTACTCCCAGTGGGATGGGCCACGCTCTGAGGCACCTGGTACACGAGCTGGTCAGCACTGCCYRGCCCYRRCTGCCCCTTTGGTATATCGTACAGTGCCTGTGCTGAGGATGCACTGTCTGTCCTGGATAACAGTTTATTACACGTTCCAACCAGGGGAGGAGCTTGATTCCCTGCAGCTTTGAAGGTGGAGATGGAAGGAGCACCCAGAGGTGTGCTGGGATGGCTGGACATGTCCATGATTATGGGAGTGGCGTACTCRGGTCCAGTTACGGGCAATGGCTCGGCGTAGGCGTGGTAAACTTCTTGGATGGGYGAGTTGTAAGGGTCCAAGTCAGCGTAACTGGCTTCTTTCCCTTCCTCTGGTTTGAAGGTTGACCTCTGGTGAAGCGTGCCCACAATTCCTCCTACCAGAGGCTGAGCATATTCTGTGTTTCAAGCCCCAASAAAACAAAATATAAACACACTTAAGGGATTTTTTTTATAGCACCATCACATTAAATACAACCTGTCAGTAGTTTCACAGAGATCATTATCCTACATCAAACCTAATCTACCACTGCCAATGGCTTTGGAAAAGGATTCCTTTCCATCCAATAGGTAAAGCCATCTGGGATAGCTAAAACATCCATACTTCTCAGGTTCATACTTCTTCCCTGGTAAGCTGCAATTTCCATGCTGTAAATCTGCCTGAAACAAAGCTTATTGRTATGTTCTTCTCTTTAAATTAGATTTAGGTAAGTCATCCTGCCTGGCTTTGGATGAAAAGTGGTCCTTAGGGTGGAGGGTTTGTCTTCTGCATGTAGYCAGCTGAGATGTTTTATCTCAACAGATAATCTGAGTTACAAATGTTGGAGGTAAAAAACCTGATTAGCTGGGTAAAAACAGACAAGCAGCCAAAAGGAGAAMAGTAATTCTGCCTGCAGTGAAGCTSTAACTCCTGCACATCTGCCCAATTYTGYCATCAGCAGGTAAGCACAGAACCAAAGGCACAGTCCGTCACCAGGGAAAGGGCACGTGCCACTATCCATAAATCCTCCTGTTCCAGATCACAAGTATGATTCAACCCATATAGTAAGGGTAGAGAATCAAAAGCCACATTTCAGATTTCTGCATAAAATTATTGTGATGAAATTATTTCCAGTGCATGAAAATATAACCAAAAGAATTCTTTAACCATTTATGAGGTTTAAGAACAAACAAATGAAGCAACTTTTGCTTACTGCTTTAATATGGGCAAGTGTCTCATCTACAGCACATTGCATGAGTAAACAGACCTGAAAAAGCCTGCATTTTAAGAAATGTGCTTACCTACAGAACTATTCACTTCTCCTCTGTTCCCCACAAAAAACAGGAAGTAACTAAATGTAGCCAGATTCCTGACATTTTTGGGCATGTCACACACACAGATATATATATCTTTATATATAGATATACATAGATAGATAGATAGATAGATAGATAGATAGATAGATAGATAGATAGATAGATAGATAGATAGATAGATAGATAGATAGATAGATAGATATATGTATAACATGGCCCACAAAGTACCTGCAGACTCTGACTGCAACATTGTTGGGACTTCTCTTGGCCTTAGGTGACTGAGTTCACTGCTGCTGTAGCGTACAGGAGTTTCCTCATGTTCTGCTGATTTKGTCGGGAGGAACTGCTTCATTCCTTTCCACCATCCTTCACATGGATTGAAAAARAAAMCARCAAACAAACCATCCAAGATTGTATAAATACTGTGTTTTAATCTACCAAAATATTTTTCACCAGAGCTTGTATTTTTTTGTAGCAGRTAAGTAACTCAGTTACCACTATTTTGAGTAATACTCTTAGACAATAGAGCTGTGAGCTATCAGAAAAAGACATGTAACAAACCAAAGTGAGGCCATTAAAAGGTTTCTTGTCTAAAGGGTAAGGCATAYTTAAGATTGCCAGTGAGCAGGCACATGGATGTGCAAGTTTTCACCAGGAGGCCAGAGAAGGAAGCACAGTCACAGAGCAGTCCCAACCCAACTGCTGCAGCAGCTTCAGAACAATGGCAAGGGGCTGCTTGGTGCAATTATCTCATCTTAAATTTGTGAGGCACAAGATGGCAGAATGGAAAATATACCTATACCCCAGATGCTTACTAGGGCAATGAAGACGTATTTTTGACAGAACTTATACACCAAGATCAAATATTTTTTTCCAGGACAAATAAAGTACCAAAGGAATGGTTATAAATGATTTTTCCCTCATGTTGTGTAATTAGGAGGTTTTATACTTTGTTCACTARAAAAACCCTGAAGCTGTCAACTTTTTCAGATACATGACATTTCCTATTTCTGGAAAACAAGAAATTGGAGATGGAAACATTGCATTTAAGTTTGTCCAGAAAAGAAATTCAGTGTTTGCTATGCCTCCCTCAGATAGCATTAGAAAAGCTTCTGCTGGTGGAAACCATGTTACTGCAATCTGAAATACACATCAAACAAAAAATGAATGGTTACRTAAAACCATTTTGTTACCTGCACGATCCCAGTAAGGTAGATCATATGTGCCCTCAGTTTTTTTCTTGCTGTGAAAAAAAAGAAAAGAAAGGGTTATTTTAGCTAGTCTGCTTATTAAAAGACGCATTAATTAATGCTCAGCAACTATCATCTTGCCTGTAACTGGTCCTCAAATTTAATGTAAAAGCTCCAGTAACCTGGCTTGCCATCACCAGTCTGCTGCTACTGGAGAAACCAGTTTGTAGTCAAAGCACTTCCAATGAAAAGAGTTACAAAAAGCTGTTTTGTCCTTGCTAGTCAAGTGCATATTTTCTCACAAAGAATGCAATTCTTTCCAAAACTGCAGACCTCAGAGTTCCCACAGTGATACATGCAGCATTTCATTCCCACACACCAGGCTACAACATTCATTTAAAGCATTTGCATCCATCTATTCATTTACCGGTTTCTCCAATGCCACGCACAAACTAAGATAAGAATCAGAGTAGTGAAGACCATCACCAGCACTGGAACCAGAACTGCTGCCAATGCCACATCTGAAAGCCATTAAATTAAGTGGTGTCAGACAGAAAGAGCTTCTCATAAATCAGTTTTTGATTTGAAAATTACTTGAGTAAAGCACAGAGTTTTCAYGTTCAGTGTCTATCACAGCAGATCCCCCAGCTAAGCTATTTGGCTGGATGCTCCCACAGTGCAAACTTCAATTAACATCTGGCTCTTCTACAAGCATGCACAGCTAGTGGTTTTGCAGGGATTTTCATCATAATCAACCAGTTTGGTTCGATATATGATTTTTCCGTTACAACAATGTATTTTATTATTTATGCAGAAAATCCATTAGTGCAACCACTCAAGTTTGAACCTCCTTTAAGAAGTAAATTCCACAGTACCTTAACAGTTAATCCAAATCAGCCTGTGCTGGGTCTGCGTGTGATCCTGTCCCCTGCCATCCAAAGGACACTTCAGCAGTGCCCACATCTGCAGTGACCTTGCTCCCTTTTCTGATCATTTTCTTCAATAAATGAAATGATTATGCCAGGTGACATTTTTTGAATTTCATGTCAACAAGACCCTTCCAGTAAAGATCTGTTATGTCAAAGGTGTTTTGTTCTAAGAAATTATTAAATAAAGCAGTTACACCTAATTAATTCAGAAGGGAAGTCCAAGTTTGTCTCCTTCTGGCAAAATTTCCGTGATTAAAAGCTGAATGCAGTTTGAACAAGTTCTGGAAGATGGAATTTATACATAGAGGAAATATATATATTGTATATACATTTATATCTATTACTTGGCAGATTGGTTCTGATTCTGCATGCAGTATGCAACTGTACATTTTTTATCATATGTGTATTTAATAACTGGTAAACTGTAACTGGTAAACTGGTAAACTGGTAAACTAATAACTGGTAAACTAATAACTGGTAAAATAACTAGAAATAAAATATTGATAATTTGGTGTAATAAATTACGTTTTGAGAAAATTTCAATTCAGAAAGCACACTCACTATATGCCAAAGCACTAGAAGGCATTCCAAGCCCTTCTACTGTTCAACTGTGGATACCTTTGGTTACRCTTGGAGTCACTGTAGTGTTTTTTATTTCAGGTGTGAAAGTTGTTTTATCTGTCTGCAGCGARGTCTTCACTGAATGAATGAAGTCATCCATGAAGTCAGCATTCTTCTTGTCATTCTTGTTCTGAGGTGGTGGTGGCARTGTGATTTTAGGAGCACGACCTTCAAAAGAAAAGAATTGATAAGGTAAATTCTTTGAAGTGTTAGTTTCCCATGTCTCCTTTTCAACAGAACAGCTGTAACAGTTTGCTATAAAGCTTTTGTTCACGTCATATAATGAGGAAGCCCCCCACKAATCAATGACATGGAAAGCAAGTGATTGGCGTCTTTTGACACRCTTATTTTATAAATTATCTTGTGTACACCTAAATTCAGCATTTTCCTGGTTGAATGTAATAACTTTTGGAGAAATTCAGAAGTACCAATTAAAGAAGGATTATGCAGTCAAAAAGTACTTCAGTCTCATTGAAAAAATATACCCATGATATAACTTTTAAGCTTAATAATTTCACTTGCAACCTTAATAGTTTTACTTTTTATATTGCACAGTTAGAAGTTTTCAGTTGTCTTACCTATACTAAACTGACATCCTAGCAACTCTACTTTCATTGCAATTTTCTGATGCCATTTTAAGGGGTTAATCCTAAAAAAGCGTGCAATAATAGGTGGAATGAAATTATTGCGAACTTCCTGGTACAATTCAGTATTCCCTTGAAATATCTAGAAAAGAAGAAAAAAAAAGAAAGAGAAATATTATATCCTACAACAGCAATTAAGCAACTACTACCAATTTTGATGTTTCATTTAGGAAGAATAAGCCGTGTAGGATCCTATTCACCCCAGAACAGGGCTGCTGCCTGCACATCTCCACTCCCTTAGCCCCATGACATTTAAAACKAAATAAAGAAAGGTTTCTTTGTTGCAGCTATATAGTTTAAAGGTACATTGTAACATCCTACTGATGCTCCCCAGGCAGTGCCTGCTGTTGCACAAATCTCACGTTTATGACACTGAGTAATTCCACCCTGGTCCTTTTTGGTGTTTTGCACTTACTTTTCAAAGATACGTGAACAGCAAGGAGTTGTGACACTGTGCAAGTAGGAATTAAGTGGTGCTTTCACAGAGCTCAGCAGTTCAGCACAGGCTGTTTGAGGATGTTATTCATTAGAAAGCACTGGGAGGCACCCTCAGGTATGGAACTACACTGTCCTCTCGTGGCTGCTGCCTCCAAGTGCTCAGCCACAACAAAATAAATTCGGGTTCAGAATGTGGAAGTTCTCCTCAGTCTCACACTGAACTGTGAGGTTTTGCAAGAGAAAGGCACAGACTTTGTGTGAAGGACGAGCTCAAGCTGCTCCTTCACTGCCATCCTTGCCCACAAAGAACTCACCAAAATGTCACAATACAGAGCGAGTCTGGTTGAAGTGTAAAAGCAGTGAGCAGAGTCACTGCAAGACGAAATGTAAGCACACTGACAAATTTATAGCTGGCCATGGGTTTTTCACCCCCCAAGCTGCTTAAAACAATTCATCCCCTTGGCCCAGCACCCCAAGCCTCCCTCTCCTTTAGGTGTGGCACCCTGTCTTTTGGTAGGATGTGAGCTGTCCCTCCACATCAGTGCACAGCAGTGGGGCTTTGGCTCTGCACATGCAGCTCTGTGGTGCTGCTGCAACAAAGGTCACCACTGAGGTGACAGTAAATGAGTTCTCATCTTGAAAGCATTGATACAGATACTGCAAATCATGTTGGACAGAGTGCAGGACAGAATCATGGCACTTGCCTGGAAAAAAAATCAATATTACAAGGAGTTTTCTGCTCACTCACAGCCTTTGGTAATCAATAAAGCACTCTGACATTCTTAGGGACAAGCATTCCATTGTGTAATAGCTGATGTGCAATGTGGAGTCAAGAGATTTCCCACATCAAGAGATGTGGAGTCAAGCACATTTCTGATCAATGCAAATCACTTCTATTTGAACCCTGATATAGAAGAGATTTCTGTATTGCACTCCTGAGTTTAAGTTTTTGTAACAAAATGACTAGATCATCCCTAGAGGTATTAAATAAAACTAACTATTCRAAAGACAAAAGAAGTCCCTGCTTTGAATTTAAGCTTATTGTTCTTAAATATGCTTAGCAACAAATGAAGACAGAGTAAATACAGGGGCAAGCCTATAGCGTCMATTTGGAAATAAATTAATAATACCAAGTAGTCAGGTCCTGTGTCCACAGTAGACTGGGTTCCAATTTATAGCCACTTTTCCCTCACTCTATAAGTTCTTTTTTTCTTAAGATGATAGGCTTGTAGATCTCATGAAAGTATTATTTGTTTTGGTAAGGATGCAAGTGAGAAGCAAACTACAGAGGAGATTTCAGGAGGGGATGCACCCAGCCTGAACTGCTGTATCCCTGCTTGCGCTGAGCCTGCCAGAGCCCAGAGCCAAAAGAAGGCACACCTGGCTGCTCAAACAACACTTGCAGAAGTCACAGATTAGGGACACACATGAAAGTCAAGTTTCATGTCAGGTTTCTGAGCATGTAACAGCAAGGGAAAAAAGGATCAGTAATAACTATCACCGTATAGAAAGAGTAACAACAAAGATCTTTATACCAGGCATTTATCAGTCAAGCTTTTGATGTCCAGTGTTACTACTTAACTTTAGCTGCAGATCCATATTTTTTGTTACTCTAWTTTTTTCCTTATAAAATAATTTGCTTCTGAGCTCAATACAGTATTTTTTAATGAGAAATCACTTTCATATTCTTTTTATTATCACATTCTTTCCATTTCCCTCTGTGCTGTTAAACAAAGCTCATCCAACACTACAACTCTGATTTGGCTTTTATTTTCCCCAATTCAACCATTTCTCTCTTTTTATCATATATGAAARAACTTTTCTTGTGTACTGCCAGATCTCTAAAAGGTATTTGCAAAGAGGACTACAGGAAAAGTTTGGAAAAGCTTCTAGTCTCCTGAACAACGTTAGGAATTTCAAACATGTTTCAGAAAAAAAACAGGGAATAGCACCTCCTGGTTGGTCTGGTGTGCAATTATGGACAGCTCAAAGGGAGAAGCCTGCAAGCAGATAAATCCAAGAGCAAATCTGAATCAAGTGAGGTGATGGCAGACAAGAGAGAAAATCTGCTATTTTGAACTAAACTGAACCATTTTTCCTGTCATGTAACAATAGCTGCCGGTTCCTGGGTACATATGACCCTTCATGCCCTGTCTGTTAATGTCACAGAGAGTGCAAAGAAAGATCTCTTGTGTGTATTTTCAAGCTCCCCAATTTGTTTCATTTCATGAGCATGCAAGAGGAACAATAAGGTGAAATTCAAGGCAATAGCTACAAAGGTTTTCTAAGAAAATTATCACTGAAGCCTAAATCCAGGCAGCTCTCTAACCGAGATCTTATTTTATGGCCAGAAGAGGGCACTCAAAACTAGAAAAGTATCTGGGATKTTTTCCTGTCATTTTTCTTGAATACTTCACACCAACAGTCACTTTAGTTCACGTGTAGGCTCAGACCTGACAGTAAATTCTTCTCCTGTCTTTCAAGAAAGTTTCCTACTGCAATTATTTTCAGTGTTCAAAAATCTCTTAATTTCACAAACTTCAGCCTTTTACCTCATCAACAGGATGCTACATCCTACCTTGAAACATTTTTAACCCAGGGTAAAGAGAAGACCAAGGACAGCCGAAGAGTGACCATACCTAAAATCTATTGCTAAAGACCTATGAGACTACCAGTTACAGCTACATGTGTATGTAATACCACAGGCCAATACAGCTAAGGTGAATTACATCCTAGGTTTTTAAGAAAAAATAAAAAAGGAAACTCTAGTTCCAGTCACACTACTAAGAATCCTGTCATTTCTTTAAGAAAATCTGATTTGTACCACTGAGAAGACACGAATTTTCTCATTTTTACCGACTATTACTGTAGGGCTGTAAACACTGGTAAAATAAAGGCATCTTGTAGCTAACATTAGGGACTTCTACTGTGTGGCAATAACATCTGCAATCTGAACATACCCCTCTGCAAGGACTGTTCCCTTATATAAAAAACTTAACAGTATGTCGTTAAAAATTAAGATTTACAGGAACATTATGAAGCATAAGAAATTATACAACCTATAACATCTATTCTGTAACCACAAGAGGATAAGAAAGTAAAGCTWAATTTTGAAACATAYAACCTATTTTWAAAGAAATATAATTATTCTTGGAGWAACACAGTACCAGACTGCCTATCACTGGTAACAGAAGTTTCTTGTATAGAATATTCCMACCCCAAATAGTAATAAAAATATCTGAATTTTAGAACTGCTCCAATCCTTACATATTTGCATACTGTCATATTTTCTTCTGCATATAAGCTGTTTGTTATTTAAAATAACACTGAAAAGGAAAGTTATTTAATGATTCCTCACCATACCAAAATGAGTTGTATTTACAATTGTKAAATCTCCATAGAACATACCTAGAAAGCATGTGGTATTTTTACCTTATCTTTATCCATGCCAGGTTCTCTGTACACTGTCCATTTCTGTGCATCATCACTGTATAAAATTCTGTAGGCTGACACATAGTAGTAGTGCTCTGCTAAAGTTGATCCAGTAGTTATAATACCTGTGAAAATTGAGGTGCCCAGTTAAGACAAAAAACTGGCACCACTTTCCAAAAATGAACAGATCTGTTTTTGAATCCAGAATTGTTGCATAATTGAGAATCTTCCAGTTAGTTTCAAGAAGTTTATCCAAAGTGCCAGGGTCTGAAACTTCCACAGTGACTGAAACTTAGTAATAATTTTACTCACTTTGTTTCTAAATTTCCATCTATAACCTTGCTAAGCCCTTTTCCCTCATTTCTTAACAGAAACAGCCCCTTCACTGGACCACAGCCCACTCCTGTCTCCAGCTGCTGACAAAGCTCTCCTCTGCTCTGCTACTGAAAAYCTAAAGGCACCATTGAAAGAACTGCAGCTTCCTACAGCTGACACTGCAGTGCTGCACAACAACTCACACAAACAGGAAAGCTGKTTTGGAAAAGCTTATTAGCACAGGAATTAGAGGAGCAATGTGAAATCCAAATAGTCCCCAGGGAGGTAATAACAAAGGCCAGTGGTAAACCCAAGTTGTTTAATGACAGGAAGCCAAGCTGCTGATAGCAGGGGATGGAGCTGAGGTTACAGAGACCAACTCAGGCATTGTGGAAAGAGGCAAACACAAACTGATCAGRGGAGGATGTTTCACAATTGCCTTARAGCCCCCCCAACTCTATGAYKCACTCCACCTAAATCCAATTAATTTTTCATTTACATGACATGACAAAGATGCCCAGTAACAACAGCAAATCACCTCTGAACGATTAAACCTGTAAACCCTAACACTGGAACTGAAGATAAAACAGCAGCACTCCTGCTAACCTGGAGATTAAAATGTCACCAACTCCTCATGAAGACTGAACCCAAAAATACCCACACCTCAGTGTTTCACTACTCAGAATGGGTCGCACTGGGGACAATGGGAATTGGAAACTATGAGCTGGCTGCTCAGCTTTTAGAACAGAAACCATCCAGAGCAGCCTGGGAACCTCCAGCTGTCCCCCAAATCAGCACAACTGCTCAAAGCACCCCCTCTGTGAAGAAGCAGGGACTGACCCTAGCCTGGCTGCCTAAACCTGCACTGTTTGCTGAGGGGAGGGCCCAGCAGAAACCACTGAGGGGCTGAAGTTCCCAGCTCTGGGCCAAGCCCCACCTGAGGTGAGGAGGTAAAGGGGAGGTTGCCAGCTGCTCTCTGTGTCTGCTGCTTCCTCACACTGCACTGGAACTGCTCCTATCCCTGCTCTTGGACTCACTGSAGCCACAACAGGAACAACCTAGGAACACAAGTCAGTTCACCTGCATCACAGGTAACAGTGGGCTGAGCTCACTGGATTTTGACCTGCCCCTCCAAGGAGACAATTAGCAGGAAAAGGGAAGCATCAAGGATCCAGTAAAAGCTCAGAAAACACTTCAACAAATTCTGATGTAAGAGAGGTCTTCTACTATTAAACTACATCTCTTCAGCTCCAGACTCTATTAGCTGGAACATGGAACCAACYAAAGTGCAATGGCAATTAAGATCTGAGCTTTATCTAAGGCCCAGCACTGGAAAAAAGGATGTCTTTAACCAAACTTCTTRAATGCTGCTGAGAAGCTATATCAGATTCACTTACCTGTTATTTTCTTTTCTTTATTCAARTCAATCTGCAACCACTGATGTTCATCACTGATAAGAGCAGCCCAAGGAGGTCCAACCCTTTTTAGTCGGGCATTTTCAGGTTTCCAAATGTTTACTTGTCCTGTTTGGTTAGGCCACTCAAAAACAGATGATGATGTGATATGGGAATCAGGAATCACCCCAGATTCCATCCCCAGTGTGCCATAGCAACCTGAACAATAGAAAAGGTGAGGAATGAAAATGAGAACTTAAGTTACACACTGCTTGGATTTTAAGACTTTACATGCAAATATTAAATTGCCATCTAAATTTATTCTGTAACAACAACACCAACAAAACACACAGCCCTCTGCTTTCTAACAGGGATGCTGGAACTAAATTAGTCATGACAATGCCATGACTTATGCCTCTTCCAAAGTAACGTGGTTATTCTCTCAGTCACTACTCACACAGAGCACTCAGTGAAAAGCACTGGAGAACTTTCATGGTTTAAGAGTAGCCATGGTTGACACAGAAATGGGATAAAGACGACTGGTTCATTTGTCCCTTTTTTTGTGTCTATACAAGTTCTTGGGTTTTTAAACCAGCCCCAGTATCATGACGTTAATTTGAACAAAACTAAATACTTCCTTGAAATTAGCATTTTTCTGGTCATCATTTTTACTAAATGTTTCTTTCCATGTTGCATTCTGCCACTGGCTAAAAAACATCTCCTAAAATCAGGGCTTGTTCTGTAATACTAATAGCTTTCCCCTTTCACATGCACAGTCCCCACAAGTATCAGCAGAGAGCAATCTTTGTCTTCAGTCAGGCAGGCTGACAACCCAGCCTAGTTTCCCTTCTCCTGTGAACTCCCCCTCTCCCTACCAAGGTGAGCACTCATCCCTCAAGGGAGATGCAAGTGGCAAAGCCCATGTGTGMCTGGATCCCACAGAAAGCCTTGCCATGTCCTGTGAGATGGCACTGACTATTTATTGTCTCTGCTGGGTGTACTTCACCTGCCACAGCACAGGATCACTTCACTAAGGGAATCTTTCCCTCACCTATTRTTTTCATTTAACATGGTGCCACTTKGAAGCAGAAATGCCTCAGYCTCTACATACYKGATACATTTCACTTTTTGCTCTGTGATGCTTCAGGTAATTTCTATCAAATCTCRAAGTTAGGCAGCTCTTTCTCTGCCCTGACCACACCTCTAGCATTCATTACACACTCCTCTATTGCACACCAAGTCATGACACCAACTACTACAGCAGGAACACACTAGGACTTCCACCACAGTCTGAGAAACCTCATTTGGGCATATCAGCATACTGCAAACAGGAGTTTTCTTTTTCCCTCACCTAACTCYTAGGCCACCCAACTACAGGCATTTAAATCTAGACCTGCATTCTGTCTCTAGCTTATTCAACAATTTCTCACGTGTCATTGAAATCCACAGACTCTAGATCAGCATTTTCTCCTATCACTTCCAATTTCCAGGCCAACTAATTACTTTCATACACACTATCACATCACATTCCAAAAGACAAAAACCCAGCAAACCCTGCCTGGATCACTGTGTTTAGTATTCTTTATGCATAAGGACACCAGACATGTAATTCCTTCTTTCAGCTCTTGCAGAGGGCTGGGAGAAAACTCGTTTTAATATTATGTGCATTATATTTTCTAATCTTTGCTTGTTTATACATTTCCATCACCAAACACTCCTGCCCATCAGATTCCCGTCTTTATATTCCCATTCACTGTTCCTTTTATTCATGCATCAGGAAAAGTATTTGTTTACTTTTGAGGACTATGTGCATGATTTCTCCCCCCTTTTATCTTTTTAATTTTATCCCTATGGAAAACAGACGTGATGGCTTTATGGTTTTTACATTGTTATTAAAACAGTCAAGGAGACTAAGAAAGGCCACTGTCTTGGGTTTTTAAACCAGCCCCAGTATCACAACATTAATTTGAACAAAACCAAAGCATGTAGGGAACATGTAATAATCCTGGCCTTGAGTTCAAATACTTCCTTGAAATTATTTCCAACAGTTATTTCCAACATCCACTCAAAGATGGCATTTAAAGTGACTTACAGAAAAACTAACTTCCACTTAGAAAACTACTGCTAATTAATTCGAAAAACAGGTAAGTTAGAAAGTAAAAACATGCAAAGCAGTAAAGCTTCAAAAAGAGTCAATGCTTGTTACACCAATCATCAGCCTGGTAGACATGCAGAAAACAAAACAGAGAAGCCAAAAAAGGACACAACTAAGACATAGAGCAAGGCCCAAAATGCCTTTCCAGAGCAAGAGAGAAAGACATTTATCACACAGAAAAGAGAGATTAAAAAAGCAAAAGGGGGTGCACAAAGGTGAGGAATCATTTTGASATTTCTTCTAGCTTTCTAAACAGACAACCAGGAAAGTGTAAGGAGTAAACCTGGAAGAAAACTAGAATACACAATTTTTACAAATAAAGAGCAACTCTCAAGTGTCCAGCTGTGCTTTAGCAGCGTGTTTAAAGTATGACAGTTAAGGCACTTTAAACTAGACTGCAATCAGGTACATAACCTGTAAGAATTTTTCTGCAGGTAAGCAAGGCTTAAACATCACTGTACCTATAAATTAATCATCAAGTTGAGATAGACAGCTAAAAAAATACACATTATTGAGGTATGCACTAAAAAAAGTCTCACAAATGAGAACAAAAATTAAGAAATCAAATACCTGCACTCTTATTTCTATTTACAAATATTTCATGAAAGTATTAACATGTAATTCGATAATGCTTACCACTCGTCTTAAAGGTGAAGAGACTTGTAGATAAGGGTCCCCTGCAGAGAACAAAAGATGATGTTTTGCAGTACCCAGTGAGGAAAATTGAAACAAACTGCCTTCAATTCATTTTTATTGTGTGACTGCTTGCCACTGAAACCTAGGCACATATGCCTGAACAAGAACTCAATGAGTAACACATCCTGTCACCAAGTTGCAGCATTTTCAGCACAAACACCTTCTTAACTGAAATCCAGTCAGGAGATGCTGGATTAAAGACTTTCAAACAAACATCAACCCAGCAAAATGCAAGACTGCATTAAAATGCTTTCCTTTCAAATTAACCTCATCATAATAATACAAGTCAATCTCCTGTGGTTACTTTCATTCCTGGGACTTGAGATACAATGACAAGCTACACTATCTTCCCTGCAACTGAAAAGCTGACATTAAATTACTGTTTTTCCACAGACCACTAGGAATTTATGACCAAGAAGACAAAAACTCCTTGCAGAATTTGGAAAATGAGTATTTCTGGTCTAGAGATTAAAGATATCTGGTAGAACAATTACACTACAGCAGAAGTGTGAGAAACTGAAGAGAAGAGAACCTGTCCAGGAAATACATAACTTCACTAGCTGAAATTAATCCTGCAGTGAGACACTACCAAGATCTAAAGTGATAAAGAAATGATACGAAGTACACTTACACTTTTGAGGTGACATTGTTAGCCAAGGAGCCYTCATAGTAAGGAATGCCCTTGCTGATGACAACGTTAATTTGACCACCCAGAGTATTTGACACAACGCCTGCGTGAACACCAGCCATACAAAGTGATGATGACTGGAAGAACAGAGGGAAAGAAAAATTTAATACTGAGTGAATAAATTGAACAMCACATTATACATGCTACATTGTCCAGTTGCAGTCTTTGTTATTATTACATTAAAATACAATTCTTARTTAGCTTATCTTGGTTATTCAGAAACCACTCTATTTATTATTGAACTTGTAAAAATACAGAAAGAAGGTCCTACATTTCACTGTGTCCTTGCCCCCTGTAACTGTTGTAATTAAATAACCTCAAACCAAGGTGAATCAGCCTGAAAAAAACAGACAGCAGGCTCAGCCTATAATAAATTGTTACACAACAGAAGTTGAAGATGTAAATACATAAAAAAATTTTAAGAGAAAGCCCATTGAAAGCATGTTTATTTATTTTCTCACAATTATGGAGTGATGCACTGCAGATTTTGTAGCTTTTAGCCAAAGGCTTGTATTTTTTATCTTAACTCATGGTTAAACCATCCAGCAGTCTGATCCATAACAAGTCAATTAGCTGTGTTCTACAAGTCAGTAGAGATCAGTAACAAAAACTGGTTTTGCAGGGTATCATGTTCTTGCYTTCCCTCCCTGGATGACAGGATCTGCTAACAAATGTCACAGTGACAGTTCCCTGGCTTGCAGGCTGCCTGTGCCACAGTGAGAAGGACTCATCACACCAGGTCCTTCAGGCACTGCACAGAGTGAACTCATAAGGTCTGGAATGAAGATTGCTCCCCTTCCCATTAAAGTAAGAGCACAGGATTCTGCAGGAGATGCAGCTCTCTCCTCCCAGCTCACCAGAAGGTGTCAGCAACRAGAACTCAAAGCCCTCAAGGACTATGGACATTAGGGTCACACAGAATAGAAAAAAGATTTTGTGTATTTTTTAAAGCAGCAACCAGTTCCTGTACATTTCAAAGAGATGCGTGAGAAACCTCTACCTGAAACTTGGTTTAATGTCCTGGACAATTTCATTTCTTTCCACACAGCCTGATTCCTGGGAAATTCTCTGCCTTTTCTGAGTGATAAGGTRTACAAAAAGAAAGTCATGGGGCATTTATTTCCTTAAGTTTCCTTAGGTTTCCTTTTCCTCCATAGAAAACTATTATTTTGGGAAAAAAACTCCCAGCAAGAAGAACTCCTACAGATGCTGCAAATATGTGAGGCAGAGAACCAATTTTATCTCATTATTAGCTAGAAAAATTACCTTGCAGCCATTTAGTGAGGACTCACTGTAGACCAGAACATATAGCACAATTACATAATGATATTTTTATCATGTGGGTWGATTGTTTAGGCAAGTAGCCTAGGATTTATAAATAGTTGGGARAAGAAAACCAGACAGGCATACTTTAGGTTCATATTTAATACCAAAATCTTTGATCAATAACGTTTTTACATTGTCTTTCCTATGTGCTAGCTCTAAGGGCTTATTAAAAAACTATTCTAAGATAAAAAAACAGATTTCATGTAATTTTTAGCAGATTGCTAGCTAAATTATAAACACTTAAAAATAAACAAAGCAAACATCCTCCCATGCTATGGCAAGTTMATTAACTGACCTGCAAAKGCTTACATTAGAATAGCATAAGTTTTTGCAGTGTTTTAAGTAAATAGTATATTAGGAATTTACAAAACTACTGSCACAGTATTAACTCTGTTTTGCAAATTATTTTATAGATGCTGAGCATAAGCAGTATTTCATCCTCAAGTGTAACAAAAATTAAGATAACCACTGAGAYACTGCTGAGAGAGGCATTACAGTGTCAAAAACAAGAGGGCATCATTGAAAGAATTGGTCCTTTCTTTATAAATCTCAATTTCCCAACCTGAGAAAATCAACAAAAACAAAAAGGAAGTAGAAAAAAAACCCCAGTCTTCTGATTGATCCACCCTTCTCTACAGGCCTTACAAAAATATTTGAGACTCCACTCCTTCACTTCATGGAGATGGCAACATCTGAAGCACCTGCCATTTAGCACTAAAAATGAGTACCATGTTATTCACTTTTCAGAGGTACAAATCCCAGCATCCAAGAAGCCAAACTAATGGCAACAAGTGTAACTGACTTTCATTACCCTCCACGTGTTTTGCCTAAATTCACTTAAGCCCGTGATGTTTTTACTTACATCTCTGTATCCATGAGGAATAGTGCCTGAAATATGAGCAAAAGGAATCACACATCCAGCWGGGCAATACTTACTGGAAGAGAACAAAATATCAAATCAGGATATGCATGCACCTACAGCTCTCTTAATCTTATAAAACAGTTATTATGCCTGTGATTTAGAACACCCTGCTAATCATCTATCGGTATGTAATGGTATCTCCCAATGAAAGATCTATCAAATCAGACAAAAATTAGTCACAATTAGAGACCTCTTTTGGAACTTGGGAAAATGAGGGAAAAATGCAAACGTTGCACTTTGAAACATTTTCATGTAAACCACAGGAGAATGTATATTTGAAGAAGTTTCTAAAAGTCTCTGCTGAAAGTATAGTTCCAGTCTCAATATGATGAACTAATAAAGCCAACATTTCATAATATAAATACGACTAGACTCCTGTAAATTCAAAGTCATACAAATAATAATATTAATGAATTATAATTTATAAACTAGAGACCTAAAGTAAAAAGGTTTCCCATCTTTAAATAAAACACCTGAAAAGTAATGCTATTTTATAACAGCTTTTGACAATGCTTTGATCATAAAAAACTGGCCCAATTACCACTAGCTCATGAAAAGCAAGAGGTAAGATACCAGCACCTCTGGAGCAAACTTGTGTTCATGTTTTAAGGCCATTTCATACTGCACACATGAAAATTATTACATCTTCAAGAGCTAAAAGTTAAGTGTTGTAAACTCATTTAGATTTTCACCACAGTACGGCAACAGCTGAAGCAACCTTGTAGGTTCCATGAAAACTGTGGGATTCAGAGACTTTGTCTCTCAACTCATACATGTTGAGTAAGGTCAGAATCTACAATTAGAGYCCTATTGTGGAACTTGGGAAAATGAATGCAAAGTTGCACTTTGAAAAGTTTCACTATGCTAGGGCTTAAGTTTGCCAAAAAGTAAACTCAGATACCTCACAACAGTCTGCAGATTTAAACATCATTCTTGCTTTAGATGGAAATAGAGAAGGAGAAAACAGGGAAATTACACATTTCCCCCATCAAAATGTCCAGCATTCTGTGTCTCCACAGAACCTCATTAATGAGCACTAAACTGTGAAATGAGTTTGCAATTTTGAACAGATTTCATCATTTAGTGCTCCTTAGYTAACTGCAATACAAATTTCAGTAATTAATTTGTGTACCTGCTGTAATGTTTATAAAAGCAATATTCTTACTATAGAAATAGGATATCAGCTCCTATGTGTTAGTGCAAATTAACGAGGTTCTACTGTATACTGCATGTAAATAACACAAAAGGGAGAAACAGCAGGAGGGAAGGAGGAGTGCAGATGTCAAAATTCTTCAGCTCTACCCTAATTAGTTTGTGTGTCAAGTTCTCTGGATGGCCAGAGCTTTCAAGCTGTGTCAGATGGAAGTAACAAAGCRAAGTAGAAACATTAAAATTACTTCATTAAAGAGACTGGGAGGGAAATAGGTAAAAATCAGTCTTACTTGAATTCTGGTTCGGAAAAGTGACTTGCATTGTCTAAACAGGTAATTAAGTCTGGAAAGAAAAAATGTTAGGTCAAGAGGATGATAAAGACAACAAGTTTGATTATGCTTTTTAAAGTGCACAAAACCATACATTAGAGCCTCTGAGGCTTAAGAAATGAATGAAAAAAACCACATTCCTACTAAATTTTCTTGCAATACAGATTTTGTATTACAGTAGAACCTTGCTAATTTGTCTGAGTAACTGGGAAATCTACTGTGAATATGACAAAAGGAGACATACTACAAAAATTCATTTTCTGTGCAGCTTAATTTTATTTTATAGTTAAACTTCAGAGATAAATCAGAAACAGAAACATGCTCTTTTCACAAAATGGTTCTGCAGTGTTGAACCCAAGCACCAGAGACAACAAATGTCAGAGTGCCACGTTATTGGCATCCATGACTGATAACACAAATTTCATGCCTCTGTCTGCTGTGTATCAATACATCCAGTCCAAAATACAGACAGGAAAGCATCAAAACCACTAAAAAATTAAAAATTGAAATTCTTTATCTGTTCTTTTTACAGTAACTTCCAGATAGGGATTTTGCCTTCTGAAGCAGTTGCTGGTGCTCCTTCATTTCCTTGCGGACCTTTACAATGAGCAGGAGGAAATGCAACAAAAATACAGCAACCTCTTTCAGAAGCCTAAAGTATCCAAAACCATGGGAAAAAATGAAGAAAAAGACAAAAAAACTAGTCACCTGATTACATAATTAAAGAGCTGAAGGAGTACAGGATGCTGCTACTGAAACAAAAATTTCCACTAGGTTAGTCTGTATAAAATATATACAGTTTGGTAAGAAAACTTGTTAGCTATTGGCCACCTTGACTACTGCCTGAAAAAATGCATTTTGTCCTGAATCTGAGGCAGTTCTTTCATTTATAACATATGTTCTTCCTCTACTATTCAAGGTAAACTTTGATAGCATTTCTTTAAAACTACAGCAACTTTTAGGTACCAGGCAATCTAATTTCCTACACAGAAGTACCTTGAAAAGTGTACTAAATTTCAGGAAATTAATTTATGAGAATGTGAGAGTAAATTAATTAGTTCTGTTTTTTTGCTAGACAGCTCTAATTTTGCCAGCGAAGAAAAATTCCCAAATAGTTATAAATACCTGACTTGTCAGTGGTTGAATAAGCCGCAAGAAAGCCACGGCCAGAAGTGTGAATTCCACTCATGAACTGTACTGTGACTTCATTACTTTTTGAAGTAATTAAACCATCTATTTGAAAGTCAAACCCACAGTATTTTCCTGTGGAGAGAAGRAAGAGAATAAATATTGACCCAAACCAACAAATGTAATAAGCATCTTACTCAATTTCCAGCCTCTTATTTAATTTGCAGTGTAGGGTCACACTACTTTTGGCATATATTCAAAAGCAAACACAAGGCATGACCCTAAATAATGTGGTTGTGTCTATTTAAAACAAATGGCAGAGTGTGAGTTCCACATTTGTTTTGTCACTGTCAAYAGGTGAAAGGCTCTCACACCCCTAACACTCCCATTCATCTCCAGCCATGCACAACCTTCACATTTAGAGCTTCAAGGAACGTGAGGAATCTCTCAAGTTAGGACAGAAAATGCTGAGAAGCATCTACAGAAGGAATTGAGAAACAAGCCCTCCTTTTCTCTCAGCTCCTGGAACACTTCTTCCTCATAGACTCTTTCATGGTTTCTCTCAAGTACTTCTTTAAATTCTGGACAATAGCAGACACAACTCACTGCATTTCAGCAGTATCATATCATATCATATCATATCATATCATATCATATCATATCATATCATATCATATCATATTTACTATATCATATCATATATATCCTATATCATACATAATATCATATATAATATATCATATCATACATATCATACATCATATCATATATCATATCGCATGTGAGCACCATTAAGATATATTAACAGTTCACTGTTTTGTCACATCTAAAAAATGGAAACAGGTTCTGTACCTGGGTACTTCTCTTGCCATATGAAATGAACAAAAACACACAACTTAAATTGTTGGAGTCTACAGATGTTGTCAGTCTTCGTCTCACACAGTTCTAGAATTGCTACCAAGTCACATTAATGGGAAAATGGTCGTTAAACAGACCCTAGTCAATATGGAATTCTCCAGTCCTACTAACTAGAACTTTTAATAAAGATACTGACCAGTTAATTAACTTGTTAAGAAAAAAAAATCTGTTCTACCAGCTACCTTGATCATTTGATATTGTAAAAATCACCTAAAACCCTATTTAAGATTCTGCACTGGATAATCAAAGTGGGTAATCACAAGGAGTAAATAATACTGCCAATGTTCCAGCTCATCATTTGCTTTCCTCATAGTAAGTATGTAATCATATTGTAAAATAGCAAAAAAAAGAGGCAGGACTCCTTTCTCAAATAAAGGTAAATTACAATACTAGAAGAACTGGAGTAACACTGGCCTACAGGAAATAACAAAATTCTAATAAAAACCAGAAAACAGATTTTACAGTATTTAAATGCAATCAATATTGTATCAACATAACCTTTTCTTTTCCCTTTTCCAAGTTTTGTTTTCAGCCACTGGATCTTGTACCATGACTGACCATSATGAGACTTTTCTCAAAACACCATTTATCCCCTTCTTCAGGCAAATACACAGTGCAAGCCATTTAAATCTAGCTTGGATAAACTCTCCAGTGCTGCTTGCACCATGGACATATGGCCTTTGTCAAACTGTGGAGTGATGCACCTTATGATTCATGGCAAGACATGGTTTTGAGATTATAAATCATTATTCTAGCTCTTCCCCGGCCTCTTGCCCATTTTTATCCATTTTTCAAAGAGCAAACACTAGAAATGGACAAAGCAGATTGCAGTAACACCTCTGTCAATGGTATGTGCAGAAGGTTATTTTGTCTGTACTCATGCATTGAAGGACCCTGAGTGCTTTTGTACAGCAGCATTAGGAGAGGATACTCCCATGTCTTAAATAAGTACATTTGACTGATGATGCACAGTGATTGGACTGTAGTGAAATCTAATAAAAAACTCCTCTAGATCTTACTAATGAAAGAGACAAACTTAACACTGAGCATATGAATGTTCTTTTGATTTCTTGATAAATACTCAACAGGCTTGAATAAGCACTAGCTCTTAAAAGCTTCATTAGAAACTCTCTCTGTTTACCAATGAACCCACGAACAATTTATTTTTTAATCTAACAAGCCAACCTTGTAGTCATTTTGGGTTAAAAAAGGTATGACAGAATTTCAGATTTTACATGAAACAAGTATTTTAATGTTAGACCACTTCAGTAGGCTTGAATTGAATTAGGATAAATCCAGATTTCTTCCAAGAAAATTCAAGTCACTGTTTAATACCTCCACTGTCTGTTGCTTCGAACATGAACAAAACCCAAACCCTGAATCATCTGTATTTGCCACTGTTAATATCACTGTTTGTCCTTTGATTTAATTTATTAAGTGCAGAACAACACCCAGATTTGCTCAACATACTGTGCTGCTGTACCAGCATGCCACAGCTGAAATGCAAGAGAAACACATGAAGTAGGAATTTACTCGAACCCATTAATTCCCTTGTAAAAGTGAGTAATAGACTTATCAGAACTTGACGTTCCTTGCCATTTAAGGCACTCAGTGTTTCCTATTTAGACCAAGTCTGGCTCCACAGCTCCAAGCACATACTTATTTTCACACACACTTACCTAGGTGACAAAAAAGAGGGTTAACAAAGCTAACTCTCCACTAGCTTCTTTAGAAAAAGGCTCAATTTAGAGGGATCAGCATTTGAGTTGCACAAAATCAACCTCAATTAAATTAATCTCTCTTTCTCTCTCTCCAAATTAAAGCTTTAGGAAAGAAAAAAAAGTTCATCTGCATAATAACAACTAATTTTAGAGAAGGAAGAATGACAATTCACTGTGAGTTTTATGCAAAGTAACCACAAGAGTCTTAACATCCTACATATACCTTGATGTAACCGATAACAGCACATTGCTATTTGAAAAAGAAACACTGACTTCTAGTCATGAAATTCTCCTGAAGAGRACAAAAATTAAACTAAGAACCTAATCAGAAGATGGGAAATATCTGAACTACACAGCTTTTGAAGCATGACATCCTTTAACACCACCAAGATGAGCAGCTCAGATCACAGTGAATCCATGTAAAAAGGAAGATACATACATACATATATATATATATATATATATATATATATATATATATATATATATATATGAAGATGCATCTAGTTTTACAATTTCCTCTCCACTGCTTACAAGAACTTTGCAAGCTACTTGGAAATGTCTGAGGAAAATAACAAATTGCAGTGGCGCTTCCTTTGAGAATCTCTAGAATCAAAGATTATTATAGGATCTGTGTTGCATTTAGCATTTAGCTGTTAGTAAAAAGTAACAAAAGTACCAACAGCATATCCACATTCTATACAAGACAGAAATTCTCGTGAAATAGAAGCTCCTACCTATCTCTGTCCTGTTGGGGCCAATGCCATTATGAACTCTTAGGTAACTGGAATGACAGGAATGTGAGTCATCGATATCAAAATCACCGAACTTGAGCTGCACTCGCTGGCCAGGCTTCACTCGAATTTCCCATTCACAAACGGTGCTGTTGGGAGAGGTCCGGGGGTAGTTGATGGAGGCCAAGGTCCCGCTCTCAGGGCCCAGCACAGTGTGTCCACACCCATCACCTACAAAAGAACAGAAAGAAATCAGCTCCCATGTTCATCCTCAAAGCATCATGCCACACCAGACCAATCATGTTGTAAGAAAACTCGACGGTAACTCACATGCAAATAAAACAGTAATGGTGAGAAAATACCATTCAACTAATGTTGCCTTTTGCTTAGTTAATCACCACAGGTGACCAGAGAGCTGCTGCAACTTCCTCACTGAGATGGATATTCATCCATAATGATTTAAAAAATGGCWTGGACACTACAGGAAGTGTCCCTGCTATTTCATATTTCCTCAGCACCTCAGCAGAGAARGGAACAAATACTGAAAAGGACAGAGAAACCTCTCAAAAAAACAAGAGGTTTTACTCTTGTAAAAAACCAAAACATTGATTTTACTGTGTTACTGTGCTCACAACACAATGAAAAAGAAGTAGAAAGCCAARGAACAGCAAATACTCTAAATACACCTCTTACCATTACCAAACTACTAATAAGTTGTTTTCTACCATACCACTATTTTAATGCTGCAATTCATTCTTAATTGAAAAATTCAACTTTTCTGAATTTGTACATRAAATTAAATTGTAACTCCAACCTGGAAACCTCTACCTAACATTCAAGCACTAATTTTAAACAGCAATAACAGTACCAAAACTAATTTATTTAACAAATGGAAAACAATAGCACAAATTGTGTATTCTCAATATCAAATAATAAAGAGCAAACTGATAAATTTAAATACTCAACAGCTAGACATGCCTTTCCCCCTGTATGTAGCACAAGTGTAAGAATTTCTGTGCTTGTTTAGAAATATGAATGTTCTCAAGAGTAACATTCACAATGATCAACATGATTTGTATTGACAGAAGTTTGTTTTGAGATCTAAAAGTCTAAAAGTGTTTCACCTTACACAATAATATGTGTAGCTCCTCTACTAAATATCAAAAGGTAAACTAAGCTTTAGGTATTCTAAAATTCTACAATATCGAAAAATTCTACAAATATCCAAAAACTGCAACCAAATTTCAAAAATTCTTCAATACATTACAAGACTGAGTGGAAAATTAAGTCCAATGCACTGAAGTGACATGGAAAAAATAAACCGTGATTATTTTAACTACGTCTCATTAATCTGTTTGCAAACACACCTAATTTCTGCTAACAAAAACTATTCTCCTTATAATCTGAGCACACTGAAAGAYAGCTGCATGTTCTAAAAGCTGAAGTGCTGCTAGCATACACAGAATAATGAACAGATGCAGATGCAAACTGCAGCCTTTTGCCCAGCTAGCAAGTCTTGAATGAAAATGATGCATCCATGGAAAAGTTAACTGGAATATCTGTTTAGTAAAATCAGCATTTCTAACTGGAAAACTGCTACTCAGCCATGTTTTTATTAATACAATTTGCTTTGAAGCACTTTGTTCTATTCCATGGCAACTATTATTTTTATTTGGGTGACAGCTGATAAATTACTTTTCTAAGTTATGGTTGCTCTAACACAAGATACCACTGTCCAAYGTTACAGAGGTAACTTTAACTGCATATTTTATGTATCATTATAATCCTGCTTTGTTTCAAAAAGCATGTTATAAACCTAAGAAAAGTGAAAGCTTTATCATGCAGAACCTGTCTGGCCTTGGTTTATTAGTTACTAAACATTCAAATGTCAGATTCCTTATTAGTCTCGATATGTTAACACTTAATAATAAAGAATTCCTTTTCTAGTAAAATGGCTTTTCACAAGGAAGTACTTGTACACATTACAAAATGCATGGAATTTATTATATTGACAAGAACAAAAACAACCATTATATTCATTATGGCATTTGGGCTTAGAATTTCAAAATTTTATATTGCAGATATAATAATAATAATAATCAACAAAAGCAGCAGTTTTATGTCAGTTTTGTTCTAAACAAAAACAATGAGCCATTAGCCAGTTCTGTCTCTATCCCGTGATGGGGTAAGCAACTGATTATCCATTCCCAGATTGAAAATACTCTGCAGATACACCAACACAGTGGCCTTTTGAACATGAATTCACAGTAGCTTTCACCTGTATGGGCAGAACCACTGTTTTGAGTGCCTTTTCAGGAAAAATAAAGTGCTTGCACGAGCTAGAATGCTCAGAAGTCAATTATTTCGCATTTCAATAGGCCTATTATTGCAATGCAGTAATCACACAAATACTACTACTTAAAATCAGGAATATCATAATGCACATGTTCTGTATCTTTGATTCTTCCCCACATTTTTGCATCTCAAGCCTATGCTGCTGGAAATCAAAGAAAAAGGAGAGCCTGGGTCTCTTCTTTGACCCCAAATGTATTTAAACTCTAAATTTTTCCAGTTAGAAGTAGAAAACATCATGCCTAACATTCAYTTAAACAATCCTCTCTCGACTAGCTTGCTGTTCACCTGTCTCAAGTATGAAACAATACCTGCAGTGTGTCTGCATGATGAACAGGGCACAGCTTTCTGATGAGAAAAGCAAAAGAACTCCATAACCACTCTTACACATTTAGGTGATAAAATGCAAACAAAATATTTCAAGTTTTAAAAGGACAGACTTTTCTTTAAAAGACACATCACTCAAAAATCACAACATTATCCCCTGTATTTTGGAACAATATCTTGTTTCCCATAGCTAGAGAGAAAAACTTTGTAATTTGCCTCACACAATTTAATGGAAATGCCAATTTCAAACTTCCCTTCTGTTGCAGGCTTTCTCAAAAACGTTTAAAAAAAATACTCCTCTATCCATACTAAAGAACCTGCTGTCAAATCACACTAGAAAGGTAGGGAAAGGAAAACCAGTTGTGCTGAACTGCATCTAGAGCAGCATCTTACTATGAAGACAGTTTGTAAAAGTAGCTCATTCTGAAAGGACATTTTAGATATTTTTATTGTATTTCACTTAGGTTAGTGATAACAGAAATGCCAGACACTTCATGCCTGAACAATCTGAAGATTACCATGTCATACACAGTCTTCCAAGTGCAGCAGCATCATTCATGAGCTATTAGGAAAATTTTAAAAACCCCACTTCCAGTGAAACTTGCAGAACAATGAAACCACATTTTGTTGTATTGGTACTATAAAAGGGCAGTTCTTGAGCCTCCCTATGGAACGTGGTGCTTTATCATTCCTGCCATACTTATTTAAACAYCACTGATGAACTCCAGAGACACGTACACACATCCAGCATCAGGGGAGCAATCTGCAATATTCAGCAATTTCTCCAATAAAAAGAGAAAGAAAGCACAACTCCTTGCACTGCAGCAGCATATATGGGAGAGTAGTTAGTTCATTCATTTGGAAGTCATTAAGTGCCATTAAGAATATTTTGCTTCTGTTAATCTGTGCATGTGAGAGTGGGATATCTGAGAACACACAGAAAAGTGGCATCAATCCCTAATCAATTATTCCTGGATGGGCTGACAACTCTGTTGTCACTACCACTGAACAAGCCTCCTGCTTTTTTTCAGCCTCCTGTCACACCACACACCTCCACACTTGCAGCACAGATAAAACCCTCTGTAGAAGCACCAGATCACTCGTGTGCACACCCATCACACCTGATCCTGGAGCGCCTGCAGATGTGCGTCCAATTTCACATGTCCTGAGGACCAAAGTCACGGCAAAGAGGAAAAGCTCAGCCCTTCACCAAAACTTGTGTTAGAAACATGGGCACCTCTCAAGCAGCTGGCAGAGGAAGGCAGATGCTGTCACCAGGAGAACTGCCCATCTCTTCTGCAGGCACCCCTGACTGCAGGCTGGATGAATCCCCTGAAGATTCCATGTGACCCCCAGGCCTTGGCACACTGATGTCTGATGCAATCATGCACATAAGTGAAAACAGTTTCTTAAACCCAAGTCCTTTACATCAACAAAATACAGGACTCGGACCAAACAAACATACCAAATCAACAGGATTTTGATAACTGAAGAAATTGTRGAATTTAATAACATGAAAGAATACTGAATGTGCAGGAGTGGGTGCTAAGCACTCTATTAATATTCACAAAAAAAGGATTCTGCTTTGTTATTGAGGAAGTCAACCAGAGCCTTTTTCCCCCTGAGACCAGCTGCTGTTAGTGAATGCTAATCTTCTTCTCACTATCAAAACATGTTAAAAATTAGTTTTTCAGACCAGTGAATACTTTCACTTTCCTTATGTGGAGAAGAGTGAATGATGAAGACATTAGTTCAATATTATAATCTAAAAAGCATAACTGATGCATATCAAAACACCAATCTCAAATTTACYACGTGGCACTGCCTTTTGAAAAGTTTAACCAGTGGGTTTCATGAGAAGATTTTATATATAGAAYATATAACCTATTACTTTCTGTATGTTTGTGACTACATATTGGAAGTAATTAAAACTTTTTTAATTAAGCAAAGGTAGAACCAAAYCTATAAAAGTTATGTAAGCAAAAAMGGGTGTTTTAAAGYATTCRTWTTAACTTYAAATAYACAACKCYTTCTGATTCAAYRCACTACTATAAWTTTTCCTCTTCTGTTCAGCTCCTGTGCTCTGCATTTCCCTGCTTTTTATCAGGACACTAATAAAAGACACTGCATCTGCTTTTTGCTTTTCTCAGYGTGGGCAAGGAAGTTTACACAAAGAACAAAAGAGTTCCATGAATAAGAAACACTGAGGAATTAAGACCACAGAGACATCAAATTCTAAATAGCTTTTTCAAGTATTTTCAAATGCCCTTATTTGTGCCCTCCAAACTCACTGCTGTTTCCACCAAATTCCATGGAGTCATGTTCTTCAGGAAGGAATCCATCCCTCTGTCAGAACTAATTTTCTTAACAAGACAACAAGCACACAGTCCACTTTGATCTTTATGCCATTTATTTGCCTCAGTAACACACTGGTTTGGGCATTTCAAACCACTACAGATGTTTCACAACATAAAATACCCCACACTGCCACAAGCGAGGCCACAGCTCAATAAACACTTGAAGGCTCTTTAAATTAGCACAGCCACAGACAAAAGSAGGCCTTGTCTGCCTCTCACT